TGGAGGGACCTGGCGTACGAGCACGCCTGGCATCCGAGCCACGTGGAAGCAGCTTGTCTTTCCGGTGCATTGTCTGGCGGTGGTGGTGCTGTTATGCCTGCGAGTCCACATCGAACGTCCATGCCTCTGAAAAGGACAATCTGCTGTCAAGGCCAGCACGCGAGCCCGCCTGACGCGGACAACTCAACGGCATCATCACGCGCACGCACAGTCAGTCACCTCAGCTAGCGAGCCCGTCGAAGCAATCGGCGCCTTCCTGTCTGGCGAGTCTGACGCAATGCGTGGCGACGTCACTCATCCTTGGGTGCAGCCACCTGCAGCACAGCGGCTCCAGATTCGATGAGAATGACGCGGCCCAGCGGCGACCCCTTTGGAGGATTCTGACCTCACGACCAGTGGCACTTCTGATTGGACATTTGGTTACTCAAAGAATCCACCCGGTGCAAATAAAAGAAGCCCTGCGGCGCGTCACGAGCAGTAGACCTATATGTGAGAGGAGAGAGCTCGGCTGTCCGAGTCTCTAAGCTGTCGGCCTCAGCTCCAAATTGGTAATGCCTCTGTATATATGCTGTGCACAAAGCTTGTTTAACTCACCGTCGTCTCGTCCGCTCGTCTATCAGCTCTGCGCAGAAACAGTCGCGAGCTGAGAAACCTACGCTACCAAACTGCTGGTGACCTTCCCGGCGGAGTTCGAAGCAGTGGCGCCTTCGGGACCGTGTTGGCGTCGCCGTCTTTCGTAACAGTGCGTCTTCTTTGCTTTGTGTCTGTGTTTACCCCCGCGCTCCCAGTTCGCTGAACCATCGGGAATTACCAACTAGACCACCTTTCCATTTTATTTCGTGGTTGTTACTTTGCTGTTCTAAATTGCTTTACTACTAAAAATAACGTGGTTCTTTTCCCGACATCAAGCCTGCCTAAGACAACTTTGAGAACACGTCACAAGCACCGGTGTAGCTCAGTGGTAGAATAGTGACCTGGTACGCAGCTAACCCGGGTTCGAGCCCAACTGTGGCCTTATCACTCGGTTTTTTTCTTTATTTCGTGCGAAGTGGTTACGAACCCCATCGGTGGAGCTGGATAAGTACGGTGTCGTGAGTGACCCGACTTTTGATCTCGTAACATCTTTAGCTGTAAAAAAAAACCGCCAGGCCTGAGCTGAACGCGCAGCTCATTCGCAGCAAAATGTGGGGAGAACGTCATTTCAGAGCCTTTTCTTAACACTCTTTGGGTAACTGCTAGAAACGCACTTGCTGGGTACCCACTCCATAAATAATCATAATTTTCGGGTACCAAGATTCCTTGCTATCCTTCGTCATTCTTCGTAGAAGCGTGGTATCCGCTACTCAGTCGCTAGAAATTTTGCCCAACTTTTCGCGCAGTGTATGACGACGATGAAGAATTATGACTGATGTGGGCATGCGCCACAGCTATTAGGGGTTGTTCGTATGCGAAACGTTAGGGAGCACTAAAATCATCGTGCGCACTGGCGCGCAAGCGGGCTTGTCACGTGGTATATTTGCACTTTGCGGGCATTTGCAGTTAGTAGAAAGACACTAAAAATTAGCTGATATCAAGCTCAAAACTGTCTAATCAGACGTGTTGCAAACCGATGAACAACTTTTTCATGAGAATGTCCTGCCCATTCCGCTGCTTAAAATGTTAGTCAATAAAAGTGAGCCTATTAGGCAGATAATAAGAACACAGAAAATTGTCTTACCCAGTCTGGGCAACAGTCAACAACAGACGTTTGATCCAAGGTGGATTAGAGAAAAATTGCTTGAGTGGAAGCTCCCGCAATGCCTTGCCAGCAGACATGAAGCCACCTTTCGCCACTGCCAAGATGGCAGAAACATGCTCTTTTCTGATGATGCCCACATAAAGATGAAGTGGCTTTGATATGTTATGTAAATGCTACGTTAGTTATATATTAAAAGATAGTTGTTACCGACGAAATAACACACAGAAACGAGTATGAATGACTGAATCTTCAAAAAACTTTGCCTCCATTTAGAGGCTCACTAAGAAAAACTAGTAACTGTAACACGCACTTCGAGCACTGTATGACCCGAAAAAGTTCCCACATTAAACTGGTTGGGCGTGCGAGAGAAACGCTTCGTTTTTAATCGCTGAACGGGGATCCTTTATCATGCCTCTAGTAAGATGGCTGTCACAGCCGCCATCTTGCCAGAGGAATGGTTTCACTTCTGCGAAATCATTTCCACTCCAGCAATTTTTTTTTAATCCTCCTTGGTTTGATCGCGTGTCGTCACTGCGTGTGTCGGCACATTTTTAAACTCTAGCTAAATATAGCTGGGCACCCGGTATACCTTCCTCTTAAGGGTTAGTGGCAGATTACCATTCATGATTTGGGAATTCTTGCAGAGTGTGATCCACCCTATCCTTATTCTTCTAGTTTTTTCACTCTCATGGTTCGGCTCCGCGGCTACTACCCAGCCTAAAAAGACATCTTTTCCACTTCTAACAGCTCTCCACTTATAAGAAAGCGCTGTATTCAGGCGAGGTGGTCGCACGTTACCTTTATTTTATGCATATTACCTTTGAGGCCTACTTTTCTGCTTCGCGTGTCTAGTTCTGTAATCCTGAGCTGTAATTCGTCAACGAAGCGAAAAAACAATGCGTAACACAGGACAGGAACAGAGACGGACCAAGCGCTGACACACAATGGGGGAGCGAAGAACGGAGTTAGATATAACAGAGCGCGATGTATTAGAAATGAACTGTACTAAAGTGCTTATTTGGGCTGGTTTGTACATTATGAACGAAGCGAAAAACACTGTCCTGTGTTACTCGCCGCTTTTTTCGCTTCGTTGATCATGCACCAACCTGCCCAAGTAAGCTCTTTAGTACTGTAATTCGTCCTGTGAGTTACTCATCAAAGCAGTGACTGTCCGCAATTTGCAGGTTAATGAGATGCTCTTTATTAGTTAACTCTCATCCCTAACTCTTCCCAGTGTCCTATAAACACACGGTGAATAGCATTGGGAGGTCGCATCTCCCTTTCTTACACCCTTCTTTATAGATATTTTGTCGCCTCCTTTATGAAGGATTATGGGGGCTGTCAATCCACTGTAGATTTCTTCCAATATATTTATGTAGGGTTTGTCGATGCCCTGGCTCCGTAATGCCTGCTTCTCTGCTTATGTCTCGATTAAGTCAAACGCTTTCTCGTAATCTACGAATGCCATGTATAGGGGTTGGTTGTATTCTGCGCATTTCTCTACCACCTGATTGATTGTATGAATATGGTTCATTGTGAAGTAGCATGTACAAAATCCTGCTTGGTCTTTTGGTTGATTGAATTCTAATGTCGTCCTAATACTGGGCTAGCATGAGAGGGATGCGGGTTCGATTGTGTACAAGGTGACACATAATCCTAAATGTTCTGATGGGCAGACATTCGGTTCTTGTTTTTTTTTACTTGAGAGAAGCTTGGTAGCCAGTGTTTGCAAGAATATTGAGAAAGCCAAGATGAAATTTTGTAAACATCAGTGAGATGTTTGTTCAGTGTTGTGTTGATGTTGTGTTAAAATTCCTCTTTTTGCGGGGCTTAATATATTAGCCAAAGAAGCGGTGTGATATTGACCACATTCGCGTGGGAACTAGCTCCACAAAAAAGCTAAAGATAGTGGGCTTCCTCATCATTGTAGTCATTGAAGTTCCCAGCCAGTTTTTCAAGATTTGAGTTTTCTGTCAAAATACCATAATTTCTGAAGCGTATTACATATATAAGAGCTGCTAGACACGTGTGCGCCTCCTTTCGAATTTCTGTCTTCTGATGGTGCTAACATCACTTAGGCTTCTGCTAATATTCTAACGTTTTGAATATTATAACAAATACTACTCTACTACAGATCGCTGCGATTTAAATTTAAATTATTCACTACTTCAGAGTATTCAAAACGAACGAATGAGTGCATATTAGTTCGAAATTACCACCGTGCTCCAAATGAAAACCGTAGCCAACTGTAAAGGTGGTTTCACTAAAGTAGAGGAGTGCAAAACCCTGAAAGAACTTGTCGCAGAGAAAAACACACTGCCACTGAGCCCATGTTTAAGCTTAAACGAACAACTCGGCTGCTGAGCCGCAGGTCGCGTGATCTAACGCTGACTGCGGTGGTTGCATTTCTCGTGGGGGCGAAAATGCTGCAGGCCCATGTGCTCAGATTAGGGCGTACGTCAAGGAACCCAGGTGGTCGAAATTTCCGGAGCTTCCCACTAACACTGCCTCTCATCATATGGTAGCTTTGGGACGTTAAACCCCACATATCAATCAAGGTTAAATGAACATATTATCCTCACACAGATTAACCATTTTTAAAGTTTAAAAGCTTGTCATACAGGCTCATACGCCCCGAGTGCAGTTCGTTTTAAAACGTAACATATTAATTGGGCCATTCATGGCTTCTATCGAAACTCATATCCGGCTAATTTTCAAAGGTGTTTCCATTTTGAACAACAACAAAAAGGAGGGCGTTTGCGCAGGTCCTGTTTGAAATAAAAGTTATAGTGCAGGTTGATCGCGTCCTGACAAGTATGTCAATTTTCTTTATATTATGCGCTAAATAGTATTTTAATTTAATTCAGAATTATTCATTCAAAATCATTATTCGCTTGGAACCTAAAATGTACTATTCGCACAATCTAAACGTCCCTAGTCTCTTGAGTATTTTTATTGCCTCTACGCAGGCTCATTGGTTCTTTGTTCTTTTCTGTTACTTGACATTGTGGTAGAGCATATGTACACGTACTGGAAGAGTAAAACACTTTCGATTGTTAGACAGCACTGTGGTCTGTGTCGTTTCTTTGGGCTGTCTTTTTAGCGCTGTTTTATATATGCTAGAAGCCATGAACCAACCAACCCAGATGCGTACCCTGCTGACATCATAATGTGACGTGTATATGTTATTTTTAGCGTCACTGGTGCTGCGCTGTCGGTCGTTTTCGCGTTTGGTGAGACATACAAAAACTAAATATTCCCGTTTGTTTACAGTTTTTGAAAACCAATTTATTCTATCACCACCACCTGCAGAGTGCAGTCGACAATTTCATTGCACACGTGGTCGTTTGAGGCAGCGCTGCAGTAAAATCATCTTCCGCTTCGAAAATTGAGCAGCAGTTACGCAAGGCTGCGTTGCAACCAAGCGTAACTTTTTTAAGGCTGGCATCTATTTCTTCAATTGCGACACGGTGCAAATGTTGTTCACACAAGCGACAGATACACGGGCTACAGCGTCATTGTTGTAACGAACGGTGCGTTCAGCTTCCTCAGGCGACGCTCCGGCGAGCTGGCCTGCCGGTGCAGCTGAACTGTCTGCGAAGAAGCGTTAAGAGAAGTGTTTGGAAATGAGGATGTGGTCGTGGCTTGAGAACTTGGTCAACTAGCTGTAGTAAACAATACAATGACATGAACGTGACAAAAATCATACGTGGAAAGAACAACGCAAGCAAATTATAGCAGTAAAGTAATGCCGGTGGCAATAACAAAAATATGAGCCTAATGAAGTGAAGCACAGCAGTTTTATTACTTAGATACTTAGCAACGTGGTAAGTTATCGGTTGCTTAAAGTTGTAGTGATCTGTCAAAGTATGGTATTAGGAAGCTGATTGCATTCTCCGCAAGTTTCAAAATGAATTATGTTTGGACAAGTAGCAGTTTAAACATTTTACAACATATTTCATGTGCATCATAAAGAAACTTGAAATAAATGTTGGAGTGAAAATAGAGAGCGAATAGTTTGATTGTGGTAGTAATAATAGAGTCCTTCAATACTTTTACTGGTCATGAAGCTTCGGCGAAAGTTTGATATAGAGACAGGAGCAACCGCTAGGGGCGCCTTCGCCAATGGCGGGGCATCGGAGCGGCTGCGGCGCTGCAATTGTACGGCACGTGCCGGAGCTGTGAAACGTTACTAATTGCAGCCGTGAAGGTCGAATACGTCATCAGAGTAATGTGTGCTTCAAGAAAATTCGGGAGAGCTCTGATACAGTGAAAACTAGCGTCGAATGAGGCATGTAAGCTAGAAATTCGACGTAATGCTGATTCCGCTATAACATCTGTTTCCGCTATAAAAGCATGCTTATTTCTTTTTCCTGGAGCCTCTCGTGAACATTTGTGTACAATCCAAAGTTCTTCAATGGCTCTGGTGGTTCTTAACACTTCGCGTAATGCAGTGGTTGTAACTTTTGACAGCGCATGTATACAACCATCCAGGCTGTATGAACGAAGGTATACACCTTACAATTGTGTCCCGCTTATCAATCGAACGTCCACTTTTAATGAATTACTGCTTTCAATTTAGCAAGAGATGAGGATCAAGCAATACTTTATATGACGTTTGCCTAGTTCTAATGTTCTGTTTTGCGTCAATTTATCACAATGGTTCCGCAGCGCGTTTGAAATTTGGTTGGCCATGCAATGTAGTTTCTCGGTTCTTAACTCTGCTGTGTAGCTTACTCATGCTGTGTTTTCCCTCTCCTTTTGTATTGTTTTTACTGTAAATGCAAAAACCTCACATGCCTCCTCAAACGTGAAAACTGACCGACTGCGTCGCATGACGGAGACATTGACATGTGAAGCAAAAAGTTATTTTTTCGTACTTAGGACGCATTTATATCGAAAAGTAACTTTGAACGCTTTTACAGCTTGCGCAACTTTTGTAAAGCATTGTGGTGCAACCACTCTTGCGCCGTCACCACAGCAAACATCTATTGGTAGCGCTGAGGTCTCTGTTGCATGCAACGGATGTGTGCTTTGATTTATACAACCTCTGGTTCGCAAGCAATCACTGCGATTAACGCATTGCGAAACGCATTTTACCGCTAATTGCACTTGTCCATGACCATGCATATGATCATGCAAGGCAGAATATGCGGCATGTAAAATAAACCCAAGTCAAACGTGTGTAAAACCTCATTGCTAAGCAAGGACTTGTAACCAATAATTGTGAAAGGCTTCAGTGCAGCGTCGAGTTGAACCTATGGCTAAATATTGGGGCCACACGTTTCAGCTTTCGCTAGTTAATCATTTTTACGTATGCTTGGGCGGTGATATTGTTTTTGACGTGGAATAAGCAATAATGACATTCGGAAACGTTGGCCTACCCAGCCCCCACTTCAGATCAAGGCTGTCAAACTTGCCTTAGGCATGCACGACCTAGCACCAATGGTACTGTGGGGCTCAAACCCGGGTCCGCTGGGTGCCAGCCCAGTATTCTATTACTGAGCTACACCGGTGCTTGTGACTTGTTGTCAAACTTGCCTTAGGCAAGCTTGATGTCGGAAAAGCAATCGCGTTAACACGACTTATAAAACGTTTTAAAACAGTGAAAGAACAAACAGTCTTCGCAAAATGCGAATAGCGTAACGAATGGCGTAACGGGCCGTCCAATGCTCCCAACCATCACAAAAGCTTGTTCTTGTTCTCATTTTAACTTTGGCGCATACCCACTGCAGCCATAATTCCTCATCGTCGTCAGCCACCGCATGGACAATTGGCACAACATTCCTTGGAAGTGTGGAACGGATGCCAGGTTTCTCAGAAGAACGAAGAAAAATGGCATAGGGAATGCCGGCCTACTACCCAAAAGTTTATTATTAATGCCTCAGTTGGTAGCAAGCAAGTGTGCGTGCAGCAGTTACCCAATGAGTGTTTTGAAAAGGCTCAGAAAGACCGCTCTTCAGGCTTTCGCTGTGAGTGTGCTGCGCCTACCACGCAGGCCGAGCGTTTCTTTTTAAACGCGGAGCTGTCGAACTCGTCCAACAAGCGCCACTATCACGTCACCATGCTTTGACTAGCAACCAGTTGCACATTCTTCGCCTGCATCGCTAGCACATACACTGCTCTACCACAGCCCACTACAGCTCGGCCTAGCCAGACGTGACGCGACGGTGAACTGCGCCTGCGCTCCTTCGTTCTGTAAAAAGCCGTCATGTAGTGGTGGTGCCCCTACGCAGACATGGGAAGAGGGATAAAGGTTCGCACCATTGACGAGGAAGCCACCTATTGGGAATGGCGGCACTCTTCCAAGCGAGACTGCTCTACTGGACTTGTTTATTGTAGCCCTAGACATACTACAGCTGAAGCGTCGAAAACCGGCTGTACTTGAGTGGAGCGGCGCTTGAAATCACTTGGCACTAGTTCGTATGACGTAGTATCGCTCATCACTGCTTCGAATGGCTTGGACCAGCTATAGGCACCGGTCAGCCATGCTGAGACTTTAGCCTTGCTCCACTAGCGCAAGATATACTAGGATTTTTAAAAAATAATATTGATCTTATACTCGCGCTAGAGTCACGAGGTAGCTCTTTGTCTAAATGACAGATGCGCCAGTTTTACAAAGAATGCTATTATGAGAGCACAAAGAGGGTCACGTGCGCACTAGTTGTCCGCCACCGCTGGTGTCCGTAACCGATATCACATAAAACAAGAAAAAACTCAGTGAAAAAGAAACACTTTCCCCCCTTTGTCCGTTCTGCGAAGAATCAGAAACTATTGAACATTATTTTGGCTCATGTCGTAACTATGCTATAATTAGGAAACGACTTTTAGATATTCCATTTGCGAAGCTAGGTTTAAATTTAACCACAGAAAATGTTCTAAGTTTTGGTGCCTCTGTTTTGGGAAATTGCCACAGAGATGCATTCGATGCGGTGTGTAATTTTATTCAAGACTCTAAACGTTTTTCAACATAAAGCCCACGTTAACAGATACTCAAAAAAAAACGGGTCGAGAAGTAATTTTCCATTCTGGATAAATCCGTCACATACCAAATTAATCGGGTTTGGCAAAACCAGCTGTCTGGTCGGCTCCCAAAATCAAGTTGTAGCTATTAGTGTCTACTTTGTTGTTGATTCTTTTTTCCCACTATCTAAATCTTTGGTTTCTTTCTTTTTTTAACATACTGTCTTCACTATACAACCCCCCCCCTTTTGTTTTCGTTGTAAGCAACAATGCAGTTATCGTCCATAGACTATATGTTCTCTTGGCCAATCCCCCAGAGTGGGTACGAGCCATGGATTAGAGGGTACAAGCAAACAAACAAACAAACAAACAAACAAACAAACACCAAGAATACAATGCAATTCGAATCCGGGGCCCCTGCGTGCCAGCCCGGTATTCTACCACTGAGCCACGCCGGTGCTTCGAACTTCTTTACAAACTGGCATCAGTCAGGCTTGATGTCGGGAAAGGAATTGCGTTATATATTATGAGTATTCAAGCGTTTTGATGCAGCAAAAGAACAACCACGTGTCACACAATAAGAATGGCGCAATGAGTGGGCCGTAGAATGCTCCAGCCCTTTGAAAAGCTTGGTCTTGTTCACTGATTAACTGTAGTGCGCATACCCCCTGGGGGGGGATTGTGAGGCATTACAAACACTTCTGGCAAAATAGTTGATCGCCGTCAACCACCGCACATAAAATTGCAGAAATTGATAAAATATTTATTGACAACAGCTTTTTTAAAATTTTTTGGGGGTACTTCAGGCGAAGAGCTGTTCCAAACAGCTTGAGAGTGCCTGAAAGCCCTTTGTGGCAGCGCTATACGCAGCGTACAAGACAGTAACGTAAATAAGTGTACGTGAGTTGTAACAATAACAACACATTAATTAAAAAATTCGGCAGCTAGATCCCACGTAGATGGGAATCGACGTTATGCGAAGCATGTGGAGGGAAGGTGATGGTGTTGCATTTTTTTATTGAGCAACACGTCATCAAATGACGTTCAATATATCTATAAATGTTGCGCGCACAGACATATGTTGAAGAGTTGCAGATGGTTATATAACCAGTTGTTTGCCCTTGGGCAACGATGCCAGCTGCAACACTCGTATTAGAAACACCAGAAGCTGATATGAAGCACTGATGCTCGCGAGCATGCTGGCCCTGTACACTGCTACGAATATCAACTTCAGCGCATGGCAACTAACCACAATCGACGTGAACCCGACGTGACGGCTTTATCAATGGAGTACATACGTATTGTTTATGAAATTGGGTAGGCAGTACAGCAACCATCATCGACGTTTCACCAAGATTAGTGTCTATTTGAAAAGTAGTTCCGAAACCTGCCATAGTTCTGTGGTTAAATGCTTTATTGCCACGCAGAATGCTTGGGTTCGACTCCAGCTGGAACCCTGACATTTGTTATTTGCATTTGTCGAGTCGACACTACAGGTGTTGGGTATTTCTTAGCGCTCACACGTTGAAACTGCCTATGTGTGCTCTCGTCGTTTCTGGGTAGATACTAAGTGTATATCACGGGTGCCACAAACACACATACCAGTGGCACATAACCCTCCCGTGGGTATGTGCCACTGTCTGGCGAAAAGTTTTTGACGATGTACGCGGCGGCATTTTGAAATTTTTCATGTCTTGACCAGCGCGTCATATTCGTCAAAGCATCTTACCTTCCCATGCTAATTTTGGTTCTCGCCTAGGTAAGGGGGTGGCCACGAGAGTACCCAAACGTAAGCGGGTAGAAAGATAGATAGATACGCTCAAATTCGCCGAAGTTCACTAAGAAATGCTTCGCATTTAAAACATATAAAATTGAGTTTGTGTAGAACAGTGGTCACTTAAAGTTTTTTAAAAGCAAAAAGTAGCAAAACAATGCAACTTCATGCGTCCACATAATAAAGTCACTTGCAAGTGTGCAGCGCGTACCACGCTTCTCGGAAGAATGACGAAGGATGGCGCAGTAAATAACTGCCTACTACATAATAATTTATGGCACAGTGGGTACCCTACAAGTGGGCTTCCAGCAGGTACCGAAAGGCTGTTAAGAAATAAAAAAACGCCAGAACAGCGCGGAATGCATAGGACTGTCACACCGAAAGCTGTAAGCGCGGCCTTTCAGGGATTTTTATAATCATTATTTGGGTAACTGCTACAAGTACACTAGCTGGGTACTCACTACGCCATATATAAGGAAAGAAGAAAATTATATAACCTTATTTTGGTCCTGCGGAACGCGAATCATAATTTTTGTGTAGTTGGCCAGCGTTCACTATATATGCTGTCCTTCGTCATTCTTTGGGTCGAGAAGCATGGTATCCGCTTCACACTTATCATGCTGGAAGTGGGCATGTGCCGCAGTTAATAGGTGATCAAGAGTAAGCTTTTGTAATGGCTTGCAACATCGGACGACCCAATGATTACGCAATCCGCGAAGTTTGACGCCTGGTTATTTGTTCCTTTCATGTTCTAAAACGCTTTATTAGCCATTATAACGCGATTCCTTTCCCGACATCAAGCCTGCCTAAGGCCAGTTTGGAAACGAGTTGCAAGCTCTGGTGTGGCACATAGGCAGAACACTGGGCTGGCACGTAAGAGGCCCGGGTTCAGGTTTCATTATGTGATTGGTGCTTTTATTTACTGAGTTGTTTTTCTTATTTCGCGCAATAGTTGTGACGGACCCCGGCGGTAGGTATGGTGGCAGTGGTGAACTGGCACCACACGTAAGCCGTGTTGTGATCTCGTAACAGTTTTCGCTGTAAAAAGTCTGAGAAAGGCCATTCTCTCAGCTTTCGCTGTTACGTTCTGCGCATACTGCGCGCAGTCCTGGTGTTTTTTTCAAGAACGTTGCTTTTTATATAGTGCAACCGATGTTGCAGCGAAATGAATATACAGGCAGGCGATTGCCATGGGAATGTTGTGTGAATTTCGTTATCACCGAAAGTGCTGCTTCACCTTACCTGAATCACCCGCATTCAAATGAGTACCGAGGACGCGCAACAGCACGCTAAAAGGAAATTAAGTATTTTCCTCATCTCAATTAGCATTGCGGGTTGTGACCGCCTCTGAGTGTATAACTCCATTGTCTATCATCCTCTTCGCGCCTCTCAACTCTTATCATGTGTGCATAGTGGTTGGCAGAAAATTATATTGCCATCGATGGTGATAATGATGATAATGATGCGATTTATACACTTCTTGTGGAACACTTACTATGAAGCAATACGCCAACAATGGCAAAAGCAATCAGGGTCACCATCAGCTTCATTGTCCAGCTGCTGCAAATAAAAATACAATGCCGCGATTATTGTGAACGGTGGAAACTTGAACGGTAGCAGCCAGGTTTGTTTGCTCTTTCCTTGTAGCAAACACATAAATAATAGAGCGTAAGATGAAGGAAGAATTTTTATGCATTATGTGGGGTTTACACGGTCCCAAAACCACTTATAGCTCATGAGAGACGTCAGAGGTAGTGAACGGCTCCGAGAAATTTTGACCCAAAATTGAGTTTGTGTAGAACAGTGGTCACTTAAAGTTTTTGAAAAGCAAAAAGCAGCAAAACAATGCAACGTCATGCGTCCACATATTAAAGTTCCTTTCAAGTGTGCGGCGCGCACCACGCTTCTCGGAAGAGAAGCGTGGTGCGCGCCACAATAAGACTTCAATTGCACTTCAATAAGACGTGTCTCACCATCACGACGTAAGTTCGGCGCCTGAAGCCCCAGAAATTACTTGTTGGATTGTGTAATTGCCACGGCGCAAGACTTAATGCAATGCTGTGCCCGTTGGATGTCAGGTTAGCAGCTACGCAGCTGTACACGCGTCCCACGCGGCAATGAACCCTGATGTTGTGGGGCGTCTATCACAAATATTTAGCATTAAATTTCACTAGCGGTGATGATGCTTCCTAATGGAGTTTTTCAATCAAGCTTGGTGTTTGGGCAGCGCCAACTGTGTTTGAAGTTATGGTTACCGGAGTTACAGCAACGCAACATTGCTTACATTTTGCCATATAACCGCCCACGCTCAAATGTTATAGTTGTAAAAATTAGTTTTTAGGGGCGAAGCTCCTTATGGCGTGGGTCTGTCGCTCTTCCATATGTATGTATGTATGTAGTATGTATGTATGTATGTATGTATGTATGTATGATGTATGTATGTATGTATGTATGTATGTAGTATGTATGTATGTATGTATGTATGTATGTATGTATGTATGTATGTATGTATGTATGTATGCAGGTATGTATGTATGTATTATGTATGTATGTATGTATGTATGTATGTATGTATGTATGTATGTATGTATGTATGTATGTATCTACATACATACATACATACATACATACATACATACATACATACATACATACATACCTCTGTGGCACATACCCGCTCCAGAGCGGTGGTACTTGGAGTTTTCACTAGATGGACGCACGAAGGGACGGACCGACGGTTGCACGGACGCAAGGGCGGACGCACGGACAGACGGATGGACGCATGGACAGACGCACGGATGGTCGCGTGGACGGACGGAAGCAAGAACAAACGGACGGACGCAAGCACGGACGGGCTGACGGACGCTTCGCCCCACTCATCATCATTCACTCCGTGGATATGCTGCGATTTCTGAATAAGAAGTATGCGGCAGCTCTTATGCCGCAAAATTTTGATATGTGGTCACTGAGGTGGGGATCAAACCCACGTCCTCGTGCGTAGCAGCGCGATACTTGACCTACTCAGCTACCAATGCGGGTAAGCTAGTTGTGAAGGACGCGTAGCTCTTCTTTGCATAAATACCAAATTCAGATAAGACAAAAACACGACAGTGACAAACAAGGTTAAAGGTCCTATTCGCTGTTTAGAGGCTAAGAGAGGGCCGACGCCTGCCGGGCCTCAGAGAACGATTATAAATTGTGGCACTGCCCTTTGTACTGGTAGGCCAGCGTTGAAGCGTCCACATATTAAGCACTTCCTATGACATCATACGGGGAGTTATACCACGCAAATGTAAGTCAACGCTGCAGCGGCACTCGGATTCCGATAGGGCTTGATCGCGACAGCGCCGGTTGTGTTTCGATGTATACCAAGTGTGAGGGTTCCGAAAACTTACACTAGGTGCACGTTGAAGACATTTCATGTGTTCGAAATTGCCGGAGCACTTCAATGAGACGTGCCTCACTATCACGACGTAAGTTAGGTGTTGTGAAGCCCCAGAAATTATTTGTTGCATTGTGTAATTGCCACGGCGCAATACCTCATGCATTACTTTGCACGTTGGATTTCAGGTTAGCAGCTACGCAGCTGTACACGCGTCCCACGCGGCAATGAAAAAATACTTTTGAGGCTGCTGCTTTTGATAATTATAACGTAATCTAGCGTAGCTGTTTGCAATTGATGGGCAGCGTGAATGCGCCTGCGCGTGTTGACCTGGTGTGAGCCCTGGTGTGACACCTGGTTGAAACTCATGCGTCTGCATGCGTACGGATTCTTTGCTGCTTGAATGACTCCTACCCACATGACTATTGATGATACTTTTGATGGTGTGATGTTTCGGACGATGAGAAAGTCTGACAACTGGTCCATTGTGTTTGGAGACTTTTAAGGAAGGAAGGGAAATAGGAAGAAAACAACGGCACGGAGGTTAACAAGCCTATAGGCAGCCTGTTTGCTACCCTGAGCATGGGAGGAGAATGGGGGAGACGAAAGATAGAGAGCAGAGAGGGAAGAGCGATAAACACAGCACATTTGGCAGCGCACGCGCCAACACTCAGTCATACTACAGTCTTGTCTTTCGTGGTGTGTGGCATATCTGTTACAGCTGCTTGTTCAAGACCATGTCACGTAGAAATTTGAACAGAGCTTTTGTCGCATTCTGTTAAAGTTTGTGACGTGGTTACGCCTTTTTTAAGCTCCAACCCGCCCCCAGCAAAGCCACTGGTGTGACTAGCCACAGTATGGCCATGTGTGCCCTTGCGTAGCTGCACACCTACGTGCTGTAGCTATTGATGATGGAGATGACTTATTGGTGAGCCGTTTTTAATGGCCGGTCGACTGTAAAGTACCACTTAGTTACGCAATTCACGTGGCCTTCCGCCTAAGGTAATAAAACGTGTCTTCCCCGCCAATTTTGTCAGCTAACGTGACCCGACATGCGACATTTATTTTTCTAAAGTTCTTTAAATGATATCTGTAGCTGAGTTGGGATTTGATGATATGTGGGGTTTAACGTTCCAAAACCACCATATGGTTATGAGAGACGCCGTAGTGGAGGGCTCCAGAAATTTTGACCACCTGGGGTTCTTTAACGTCCGCCTAAATCTGAGCACCACGGGCCTACATTTCCGCCTCCATCAGAAAATGCAGCTGCCGCAGCCGGGATTCGATCCCGCGACCTGCGGGTCAGCAGCTGAGTACCTTAGCCACTAGACCACCATGGCGGGGCGTGGATGCGTTGTAGATTATACGAGTACGTGCCACTCATGATACCTCGTTTTTTTATGCAATTCTGCATTCAACAGTATATACTACACTGGCCATCTGTTCCCACTTCGGTAATGATACGTATAAGAAGTACTAACAGAATACGCACCAGAACGGAGATTCCGTGCTAATAGCTAGATCGTCCGGAGTCGAGCGCTTTTCAAGGGCAGCAGGTGTTTACGTCGGCAAGTCAATCCGCGCGCAGACGTCGACGTGGTGGCTGCTTCAAATTTCCCTCTTCCTCGTCCTCCTAATATTCCGTGAGCAGTCAGAGAACGTAGTGCAGTACGTTGCCCGCCCTCATTTAATAGCTTTTGCACGGGTCTCGACCAATGAGTGATATGCAGTGACTTGTCTACGAAAAGCGAAACGTGAAGGTGAATTGACTACTCGTCCCTGTCACAACACCATAATTACAGAGGATGTCCGTTGTTTGAACTGAAGAGCAGCATTGTCTGAAGCATTTCCGGCAGATGTGTAATGCCGCTACGGGCAGCTATTCAAGTTTCATATGCACGCACACAGAATTAGAAAATCCATAAATATATATATATATATATATATAATATATATATATATATATATATATATATATATATATACATATATATAGTGGGAGTAATAATTCAATGAGCCAGTTAGTCTTCGTGAAGGTATGGGTTATGGCACAATGGGAGCGTAGTCAACAAGGATAAATATATTTATTTCCCAACAGTTTTGGGAGGGGTCCTCCCTTCATCAGGGGATATATATATAATTGTAAAGAAACATCTATCCTGGCAGCACATGGTGGAATCGTAGTAATTGACCTTTTTAATATTTATTTGTAGGAACAGGCGGCAAGGCACAACGAGAAAAGTAAATTCTTCCTGCGAAAAACAAACTGCCGCTATATATTCCGAAATAGCGGCCCCTTGGTAATTTAGAAGTAATTAAATTCGACTTGGTTCACCAGCGAAAGCGAAACACAAATGAGCGCAGTTACAACACGACCAAAATGACGATCTTCACAAGGGCGATTTCAGCAGTGTTAATTTTACACTGCTAAGCGTACGAGTGCTACGCCTTCTTTAATGCTAAGCGCAGCCCGCACACGAAAGAAGAGCTGTCGTGTTATGTCAAGCCGATTGCTCTGTATTGAGCATATAAAGCAGGAAAAAGGGCGAAACGTTTATTTTCGTGCCCGCTTCATTGAGGATTCGTCTGTACGCAAAACAAAGGCAACCTTCCACTGCCTTTTGGCAGGGCTTTTGTCTCGGCGTAGCGGGTGAGGTAGTCGGTAGCTACCACGATCCACTTGTTTCCGAAAGCCGACGTCGGGAACGGCCCCAGTAGGTCCATACCAATCTGCTGGAAAGGTCGGCAAGGTGGATCAATTGGCTGCAGAAGTCCCGCTGGCCTTGTCGGCGGTGTCTTGCGTCGCTGACAGTCCCGGCATGTCCTCACATAACGAGTGACGTCGGTTGTAAGACGCGGCCAGTAGTACCTTTCTTGTATCCTCGCGAGCGTGCGAGAAACACCGAGGTGCCCTGCCGTCGGATCGTCGTGCAGGGCCTGCAGGAGTTCTGGTCGCAGAGCTGAAGGCACCACAAGGAGATACTTAGCCCGAAGCGGTGAAAAGTTTTTCTTTTGTAGAAGACCGTTTCGTAGAAAAAACGACGCAAGTGCGCGCTTGAATACCTTCGGGACTTCGGCGGTCCTGCCTTCGAGGTATTCTATTAGGGCCTTAAGTTCCGGGTCGGCCCGCTGTCGTTCAGCGAAGTCGTCGGTAGTTATCGTTCCCAAGAAGTAGTCGTCATCCGGGTCGTCGGGTAGCGGTTGGTCGACAGGCGCACGAGAGAGACAGTCGGCGTCGGAGTGTTTTTTGCCGGATTTGTAAATGACAGTAATGTCATATTCTTGAAGTCTCAGGCTCCATCGTGCGAGGCGACCTGAAGGGTCCTTCAAAGTGGCTAGCCAACACAAGGCGTGGTGGTCGCTCACAACTTTGAAGGGCCTGCCGTAGAGGTATGGGCGAAATTTCGACGTAGCCCAGATGATGGCGAAGCACTCCTTTTCTGTTGTGGAATAATTTGCTTCTGCTTTGGATAGCGATCGGCTGGCGTAACTAATAACCCTTTCAAGTCCGTCAGCCCTCTGCACAAGAACGGCGCCAAGACCTACGCTGCTTGCGTCAGTATGTATTTCTGTCTCGGCGAATTCGTCGAAATGCAAGTAACGGAGGCGTCTGGAGGCGATGTTTAAGCTCCTGGAAAGCGTGTTCCTGTGGCGTTTCCCACTTGAACTCCACGTCGGCCTTGGTAAGGTTAGTGAGAGGATCGGCGATGCGGGCGAAGTTTTTCACGAACCGCCTATAATAGGCGCAAGGCCCAGAAATCGGCGCACGGCTTTCTTGTCAGTGGGCGGCGGGAATTCGGCGATGGCGGCTGTTTTCCGTGGATCAGGACGAACTCCAGACTTGCTGATAACGTGCCCCAGAAACAAGAGCTCTTCATACGCAAATCTGCACTTTTCTGGCTTCAGTGTGAGTCCGGAAGTCTTGATGGCTTGAAGTACAGCTTCAAGGCGCCGAAGATGCTCGTCGAAACTCGAGGAAAACACGACGACGTCGTCCAAGTACACAAGGCAAGTCTGCCACTTCAATCCTGCCAGTACTGTATCCATAACGCGTTGAAAAGTTGCAGGCGCTGAGCAAAGGCCGAAGGGCATCACCTTAAACTCGAAGAGGCCGTCCGGTGTTATAAACGCCGTCTTCTCTCGGTCTCTTTCGTCGACTTCGATTTGCCAATAGCCAGTCTTGAGGTCCATTGACGAAAAGTACTTGGCGTTATGGAGCCGATCAAGTGCGTCGTCTATTCGTGGGAGAGGATACACGTCCTTTCTTGTGATTTTGTTCAGGCGGCGATAATCGACGCAGAAACGTAGGGTCCCATCCTTTTTCTTCACTAACACCACGGGGGATGCCCATGGGCTCTTGGACGGCTGGATAATGTCATCCCGCAGCATTTCATCAACTTGTCTCTTGATGGCCTCACGTTCTCGCGTCGAAACCCTGTACGGACTCTGACGGAGTGGTCTGGCATTTTCTTCGGTTATGATGCGATGTTTCGTGATTGGGGTCTGCCGAATTTTCGATGACGACGAAAAGCAATCTTCGTATTGCAGGAGCAGGGCCTTGAGCTGTTCTTGCTTATCGTTCGGAAGTCTGGGATTGACGTCGAAAGCTATGGGAGGGGCTTGGTTCCTCTGAGCAGGTTCCGCAGAATCGGCGAGGGCGAAAGCACTGGTGGCTTCGACAATTTCTTCGATGTATGCGACCGTTGTTCCTTTGTTCACATGTTTGTACTCATTGCTGAAATTTGTGAGCATAACCGTTGCTTTGCCTCCCCGCAACTCTGCAATTCCTCTTGCGACGCAAATATTTCGGGTGACCAACGATGCTGACTGCCTTCAACGACGCCTTCGAAGTCAGGTGATTCAGGAGCGCCGACTGAAATAATGACGCTTGAGCGAGGCGGAATGGTGACTTGTTCTTCCAGCACATTCAAGGCATGGTGTCCAGACGGCGTGCGCGGCGGTAGTGCTTCTTCTGTGGATAACGTTATCGACTTTGTTTTTAGGTTGATGACAGCACCATGGAGGCATAAGAAGTCCATGCCAAGGATGACATCTCTCGAGCAACGCTGTAGGACTACGAAGTCTGTAGGATAAATACGGCCGTTAATGGTGACTCTCGCTGTGCAGATTCCTGCAGGCGTTACGAGATGACCTCCGGCTGTGCGGATTTCAGGGCCTTTCCAAGCTGTCCTAACTTTCTTTAACTTCGCGGCGAACGACCCACTGATGACAGAATAGTCGGCTCCAGTATCGACGAGAGCGGTCACACTGTGGCCGTCGATAAGAACGTCGAGGTCGCTAATTCGCCGTCTCGCATTACAGTTAGGGCGTGGCGTCGGGTCACGGCTGCGTCGGCTTGTTCCGCTGCTTCCATGTTGCGTCGTCAGGCCACCTTCGGTAAGTGAGCTTTCGCCGTCAGGGCTTTGCCTGGTTGGCGTTGTGTTCGGAAAGCTCCGTCGCGGCGTCGTCGTCGTCGGAGGATCTTCGGTAGTTCGTCGCACAGCAACCGCACCTCCACCGGTTGCTGCCCTTAGTTTCCCGGATACGGGCTAGGAGACCGGCCCCGCGTTGGGCCAGAGTACTGTCGGTGGTGCGGTGACGTGCGGCGGCTGGGCGACGGCGAACGCGAAGGGCTTCGTGGTGTCCACCGAGTTCCTGTCAGGTAGTCGGCGATGTCACGTGGTCGTTCTCCTGGCTGTGGGCGCGGTGCATTGACGGCGAAGCCACGCAATCCCATCTGTCGGTACTGGCAACGGCGGTATGTGTGTCCGGCCTCGCCGCAGTGGTAGCAGAGCGGGCGATGGTCAGGGGTGCGCCAGACGTCAGTCTTCCTCGGTGCACTGCGCTGGGCCGCTGGCGAACGGTATGACGTCGGTGGGGGTGGTGGCGGCGGTGGCGTCTGTCGACGGAAGTGCGATGGGGCGGCGTTTTGGCGTGGACGGGGAGGAGCGTTGTGGCGCAGTGCAGCGGCGTAGCTCATAGCTTCCGGCTCGGGCAGCGGTGCGTGGGGAATTTGAAGCGATTGCCGAACTTCTTCTCGCACAATGTCGGCGATCGAATCCACTTGAGGCTGCGCCGAAGGCAACAGCTTGCGCAGCTCTTCCCGCACGATCGCTCGGATCGTTTCACGCAGGTCTCCGGAGTTACTGGCTTGAGCAGCAGCGCAGTCTGCAGTCAGGCGACGATTATACTGTCTGGTGCGCATGTCCAGGGTCTTTTCAATAGTGGTCGCTTCGGCTACAAATTCTTGGACGGTTTTCGGTGGGTTTCTCATCAGCCCCGCGAAGAGCTCCTGTTTGACCCCTCGCATGAGGAAACGAACTTTTTTCTCCTCAGGCATGTCTGGGTCAGCGTGACGGAATAGTCGGGTCATTTCTTCTGTGAAAATGGCGACATTTTCATTTGGTAGCTGAACCCGGGTCTCTAATAAAGCAGCGGCCCTCTCTTTTCGAGCGACGCTCGCGAACGTTTGCAGGAATGCGCCGCAGAAAACATCCCACGTTCGGAGCGTGGACTCCCGATTTTCGAGCCAGGTCCTTGCGGTGTCTTCTAAATAGAAGAACACACGACGCAGCTTTTCGTCATGGTCCCAGTGGTTGAGGGCGGCCACACGGTCGTATGTCTCTAGCCAGGACTCCGGGTCTTCGAACGATGACCCATGGAAAA